TAAGTAAGGTTTGTAAAACTAGCCCTTCTGAGTACCATTTCTTTATTAACAATTATTTATTTTTTTTTTATTTAGTTTAATTTAAGCAATCGCTTTTTAGTAAATGAATTCAAACAAAGCTTTCTTCAAAAATTTTATTATAATAAAATTATTAGTTCAATTTAATCAATATTTAAAATTTTTTGTTTTTAAACAGAAAAATTTATTTATTTTATTGTTGATTTAATAATTATTTTTACTGAAACCTATTAGCATACACATTTACAGCAATAAAAAAAATCACAGTAAACAGCAACAATGTAAAAATCTTAACTATTTATTTATTAATTGTTATTCAATTAGCATTAAGTTTTTTATTTAAATTATTCGAGCTTATATTGAGCTGCCATTGGAACTGATATTTATACAAAAATTTATTTAAAATTTACTTAACATAATGTGATACTAAAATACATCAAAAGCTCGTAAGCAAGTTTTTTAAGATAACTATTAAAAAATGACAGTGAGTTGTTAAAAAGCTATTTATAAGAAAAACTCAAACTTATATATAAATATTTATATTGTATCTAAATTATAGACAATAAAAAAAATAAACATTATATGTAATAATTCGAGTGTGTTGGTTTTTATATAAAAATCATTTGAATCATTAAAAATATTTGTAAAAAATTTATGCAAACATAAATTTACATGTTGTGAAATAGGCTTAGTTATATATACAAGCATGAATTCAGCAATATATAATAAATTAAATAATTTTATATTTTAACAGGCTAATTGGTCAGTAGTTAAATAATACACATTTAAAAAAAAACGTTATTTCGAATATTATCTATTTCTAATAATAATCAGGGTGCTATGTAGTACCTACTGTCCAATTAGTCCGTTAAAAAACAAAATTATTATTAAAAATATTTGGTCATTAAAACAATTAATTAAAAAATTATTAAATATAAAAAATGGAATAATGGAATACAATAAAAAGCTCTATGAAAAATTTCCCGATTCAATAAATTAAGTCTAATTGATTAGAAACCGAATTTAAAGAATTTAAAAAATAACTTCAACTTATATTAAGGTTTTAATTATTTTTTAAATTCTTATCATTAAAAACTTTTAATATATTAATAATTTTTTTATATAACAAAAACGAAATATAATAAAATTTAAATTAATAATGGAATGTTTAAAAAAATGTAATACTTGGATGTGTTCGATTTAGTTTTTTTTATTATGCTATTATTATAAAAATTTTAAATTGATTTTATTTTTTCAATTTAAAAATTGGCAATTGGCAATTGTTCTTATACGTGGAATAATTCGAGGCATAACTTATAAAACAATAAAACTAAAGCTTAAAACACTACAAATGTGACATGGCTAAAAAAATGTTTTTAAGATGTTTATAGCATAAAAAAAATACGCAACTTAGAAAGTAAGTATAACAAAAATTAAATATATAATTTTTTTTTAAATTATGTACTGGAAATGTACGTCCATTAATTTTAACAATATATTAAATAACAAATTTAAAGTTTTTAAATCTAGAGCTGACATAGCAATCGATAAAGATATTTTAAAAATTAAATTAAACATTTTTTATTATATAAAATAAATTGAAATATAAATATCAATATTAATAAACAAAAAATTAGATAACAAATGAATTATGATATTATATTATATGATATTATATTATATATTATTATTATATATATTATTATACATATTATTAAATATTATAAATGTATTTGAGATAATATAAGTTAACGTAACAAAAATATTTCAAAAATTAAATTAAAGGTTTTATATAAATTTAAATTGTTTTAAATGTATATTTCAACTTAACAAAAAAAATTTTAACTTAAATGAATAACAAATTAATGAGTGTAAAAGTATATTCGAGATAATGGAAATTAACATAACAATAGATAAACGATCAATAAGGTAAGACAATGTATATAAGCTTCTTTGAATCTATGAAGCACTTATCAATCGAAAAATTATATTATTATTTGCTCAAAAAATATTTTAAATGTTACTTTTATTATTATATTTTACAAAAAAAAGATAAATCAAAATATTTCAGTAAAAAATTTGTGCAATTTATTTAATTTAAAATACCACAATTATATTTCTTTGAAAATCTTTAAAATATTTGGATTAATAATTGAAATTCAAATAGTAAATAAGATTCAATTTCATAAATTTTTTAAATTTATCCAATATGATTTCTAAAATAAAATATAATTATTTAAAAAAAAATTAATGTTTTGTTAATAATATATGTAATTTGTGCTCTTCAATTCATACCTATTCGATCTTGTTCATTTCTTTGGCTCTTTATGATTTCTAACAAAAATTAAAAAAGTACAGTAGACTCTGTCTATAACACAGTTAAAAATGTTCTGTGTTATATCAATTCGTATAATACGTATCTCCTAAATCAGGGTTCCTCAACCACTAGTTGGCACCGATTCTTAAAACATTTTCGCCATTAACGATATTATTTAAAAAAAAGATATTGGTATTGGCCTTTGTTCAAAACGATTTACTTGTTATAAATATTATTAATTTTTTTTTTTTGAAAAAATTTTAAAACAGAAGAATAAATCAGTTAATTGAAACACAAATTACGGTTCTGTAATAATATTTTCAAAAAAAAAAACATAATATATTTCATTATTTTCAAGAGCACCCCTAAGATGAGTATCGAATGTTGCTTAAAAACATTATTTCGAAATAATCATTTGTGTTGTTAATAAGTGACTTATCAGCTTATTTCATAATTTATTTAGATATATTTAAATTTATATTTATATTTCCTTTTTTATTATTTTTATGGTCAATACCGTGTTATAGATGCCTTTTTTAACGTCTTATATGAACACGATCACAATTTTTCTGTCATATTATACGAATCTGTTGTATAAGTAGGGACTACTGTATAACAATTTAAAAATATAATAATAATTTAAAAATTTTAACTTGAAGTAAACTATATAGAATATCTGAAAGATAAAGCAAAAGTCAAAGAGCACATATATATACATGGCATATTAATTAATATCACAAAAACTTAAAGATTCTTTTAAGGCTGTCAATACAAAAGTTTTATACAATTTACACTAATAAAATAGTTTAGATTTAGTCGAACAAATACATTTTTTATATAACATAAACAAAACACAAATTGGATTTGACAAAAGGAAATAGTTTAAAATGTTTAAAAATTAATAATTCGAACAAATATTGAATAAAGGCAAAGTATAGATTTTTTCCAAAAATTAATAAATACATTGTTTATACAATATTAATTGTTTATACAAAATTAATTGTTTATACAATATAAATTATTTATACAATATAAATTGTTTATACAATATTAATTGTTTATACAATATTAATTGTTTATACAATATTAATTGTTTATACAATATTAATTGTTTATACAATATTAATTGTTTATACAACATTAACTGTTTATACAATATTAATTGTTCATACAACATTAATTGTTTTATACAATATTAATTGTTTATACAACAGTAATTCTTCATACAATATTAGTTGTGTATGCAATATTAATATTAATATTCGAAATTATAAATGATCGAGATTATTAATACACATAAGAAATTAAATATATATATATAATATAAAAAATTAAATATATATGTAATATAAGAAATAAATATATTAATATAAGAAATTTAAATATACATTATATAAGAATATAAAAATATATAATACGAAATTAATTATATTTATATAATAAAAGAAATAAATTATATGGTAATATAAATTTATATATAAATATAAAAAATAATTATATATATATAAGAAATTAAAATATATATGTAATATAGAAATTAAATAATAATGTAATATAAGATTAAAATATATATAAATATAAAAATTTAATATATATATAATATAAGAATTATAATATTAATATAATAAATATATATATAATATATATATTAAATAGTTCTTATTTAGATAGAGCGAATATTTTTAGTTTGTGTTTGATCTTTATCATTTGTATGATGTATATTAATTTTCTGTTATAAAAGAAAACAATTTATTATAAAATATAACAAAAAATATCAATAACAACATAGTCAAAAAAATACTTAAATATTATATATCAATTCCAGAGGCAAATTAATTACAAATATTAATATAAAAAAAAAATATTATCTAATTTCTATTTATATATGCAAAAAAAAATCATTAAACAAAAATAATTTCATGTACAGTAATTTTATAAAGTAGTAGACCTATAACTTTTTTCAGTGTATTTTAGAACTTAATGATTATTAGCAATAATATTTCGAACTTCTCAAAGCATAAACAATTCTATATCTCCTATTATAAATTATATATATAAATTCAATTTTTGTTTATTTTGTTTATTAGTATACTTTTTAATTGAAATTTTTTCTTCTTCTTTTGAAAGTTAAATTCATAATTCATTTTTCTTCATAAATATTTATATATCATTTTGTTTACTATTTCAATATTAAATATTAATACAATTATTCACAACATCAATATTTTTGTATTTTTAGTACATTAGTTACACATAATTCAAAAGATTTAATTTTCTTTCATTAAATATATTAAATTAATTTGGTCAGATTTTATTATTTGTGTGCATTTAAAAATATTTATAGTTTTATTAATTTTTTGTTCTGAAATTCAAATTATACAATTAACACATTTAATTAGTTTAATTCTATTGTTATATTTCGTTGTTCTCTAAAAATATTTAGCTAGAGAATACAATACAATCAGACTTCAAAGCATTTTTAAACTAACAAAATTTTAAGTAGCAGATTTCCAACCTCAGTTACACCAAAGTTTAAACCATACATACGACTAACCTAAATTATAGTTCTTGAACCGGTCCAATCAATGGACGTTTCGCACAGTAATGCTCATTTCGTTTCATACATAGTAGAGCAACGTATTAACTAAAAAAGAAATCCTTTACAAGTTGTGCAAAATACATTAACTTCAAGCGATATTTTATTTATTCATATTTCTCAGATCCTTTTTTCTGTTCGAAAGTGATGAGCTTTCGCACATCAGTTTTTCGAAATTAATTCTTTGCTTTACGCGGACGATGTAACAATCAGCTTCCGACTGTAGCAATTTTATTTTTATTTTCAGCCTCAGCATTAGCCACACCCGCAGTTTGTAGATCAATCTCACTTAAGAGCACCCAGTTTTCACTATCACCGTGGACATGTAAACGTATTTCTTTAATTGCGCCAATCTTTGTATCTAAGGCACCCTCCGCAACGCCAATTGCATCAAATGCTCCCACAATCAAGTAACCATCATTTGTGGAATTGTACGTGCTCCAAACGGATGCGTTTTCACTTAAAGTATCGGCGGGTAATACTTCAATTGTTGTGTTGTAGAAACGATCTGAAGGATGTTCCGAATTACCGCTGCGAAAGTAATAACGACGAATTTGTGTTGGTTTTTCAAATATAAATTGCACGATGTCACCCGGTTGAGGTAATAAACCCCAAAAGTACGTTTCGCCACGATACGCACGTTTAAGTAAATAATTTTTATATGGAGCAATGTTAGACTTAACTGTAGCTGGTGGATTGTGTGGATGTGCAAAGAATGTGGGAACTTTCCATCCAAACTGTTTATCTTTAAGTTTTTGGACTTTACCCTTTAGTGATGAACTTGTGCCAATATGCTGAAATAATGATGGTCGATAGTGTAACCAATATTTTGCTCTTTCCTGATTGCAATGCTTCTGATCTTTATCGGTACGACATACTTTTGATTCTATAAAACTACCAAGCAACCAATCGACCGGTTTGTCGTTATAAAACATTTGGAAAAATGTTATAAGATATGGCAACTCAGCTGATTTAAACATTTTCCCAATAAAACCTAATTGGCAAAAGTCTAAAATAAACCAAGGTGGATGATCCGGTTTAGTTAGAGCACTTTTTGTGATGGCAAACTTTTTCATCGCTGTTATGAAATTGTGCTTAGCCAAAATATCATCTTCCAGCTGAACATAAAATGTGCCTAATAATTATAGTCATTAAATAATTTGTATAACTTAACTAGAATATAAGTAGAGGATGATCAATAACTAGAATATAAGTAGAGGATGATCAATACCAATACCATATAATTGAGTTTAAAGTTAAAGCGGCTATTTTTTCAGAATCCTTACAAAAATTGTCATTTGTCTTCAATATTGTTTGGAAAAATATCATGGAAGAATATAGAGTCGGTCAGTGTGATGAAGCTCGTACAAGTCCCATATATGGGACTAAAAGAAATAATGCTATTTGTATAGGGAATTGTTAAAAAACTATCGCCAGCCTATCATAATAGAGCCGTTGTACAGAAAATCGTTAGAATTTATTATATATATAATGAATTTACGCGGACTACGTTTCCTATATAATGTGAAATTTATGATCGATATAATCCATCTAAGTTAGTGATGATAAGTATCCAATCCGTTAAAAACATGAACCTAATAGTAAAAGTATAAATGCACGGAACTAAAGTAGGAATAAAAGTTGTTAACATTTAATTATGTGCCTTTCTCAAGAATTTGGAGTTTGCATTTTAAAGCATATAAGTTGATCCAAAAACTTGAACCAAATAACCAATATTGCAGAAAAATTCTGCAAATCGGCCTTTAAAGTAACTTGAAATGAATTTATTATTTGATAGAAAAATAGATTTTAGTAATTAAAGTCCTTTTAATGATCTGATTCAATAGATCGGCATTGATATCCACATCAATGATATGATCGACATAATATATATAAAAAAAATTGGCATCCACGAAAATTAAAACTTTGGTACGGTTTATGGTCTAGAAGTCTAATTGGGTCTTATTTTTCTAAAAATCAAAATCACATGACATAATCAATTAGGAAAAATGGTCGAAATATATAGATCATATTCGATCACCCCCTATAATAAATATTATTTATTGCATACCTTTAGATTGTGCATAGGCCATTAAGTACGCAAAATCCAAATTTTGTTTACTCCTCCATTTAACCCGTTCTAAAGAATCATTCAGTGTTATACGCAATCTGTTAAAGTCAGGATAATACGAAGAAGCTGGTGCAATAACATCAATTAGTCCACTATCGACGTAAGCTTCGAAAGTAGTAACTATTTGTTTAGCAATAAACTGAACCGTACTCTGATCCATTTCCCCAATGAAAACTATGATAAGCGTTTCATTTTGCTCTTCTTCATTCATATTTTCTATTAAATTTTGTAATGTGCCAAGTAAGTAGGATTGCTTCTCTCGTTTAACCGTTGGTATACCCAAAACAATACTAACATCAGCGCGACCCTTACTATATAAATATGCAGGTCGTAAAGATGCGGAATCATCTAGTAAATGGGGCAGAAAATGATAAGCAGTAGGCAGACGCACAGCTGTAGTTGTGGAGTAACGTTGTGCAGAATGAGCATGTGATGCATTTTTCAAAGCTTGGCGAGCTTCAGGACTCAAAGATTCTAATAAGCTAGCAGCAGGACCACCAGCTGCAGCAGATGCCAACGTAAGTGAAGAAGTCGACGTAGGTACATACAGTGGTGGCGTTGTAGGCATTTGACTTATTACTGAGCCATTTTGCAGTGCGCTCAGATACTGCGAGAGTATTGCAACATCTTCCTGGCGAGCACGATACATTGATTCGAGATATTGTATACGCATATGACTTTCTGCTAAGCGTTGCGTCAATGATTGCTCGGTGGATAACTCTGGACCCATCATCATAACAATCAAAATACATGGTGTTAAGACCAACAGTGTTGTCAAAAGTAAGCAACTACGCTGACGTAGTTTCAACATTTTGGTACTGTGTAGCTTTATCGAAGTTATGTATTCGAAAATAATTTATATGCTCTTTAAAAAACTATAGTCATCTTCTAATATACTTTGATCAATCTTATATAGATTAGTTGTAAAATTAATTTTTTATCAAAAGGCTTAAATGTCGTTGGTTTAAGTATTTTTATTTCAAATAATTATATTTTTTTATAAATATAGAATAGATTTCGTTCGAGAATTAGTAGTTTTACAATATGTATGCAGATAGTTTGTTAAAATAATCGTTTCGCAGGTCTGAAAGTAGAAAAATTATTTAATAGTTTAATATGTATTAAATGTTATCTATTTAAAACCTTGTTATAGGTTGTTATATTATATTATATATACAATATTACTTGTAACTCAAAGAATGTAATTCTTAACAGAAACAGAATCTATCAAGAGATATTCAGTAACCCAACAATTTGTCTATATATGCACTTCAGAGCTGGCTCATCTCCTAATTTGCGGGTTCAAATAATAATACTAAAGGAAAAATTTTATAAATTTGAACAGATAATTGATTTATTAAGTTATGATAAAATCAAGAAAGAAATTCTCGGTTTTCTCCTATTCTATTTATACGGCAGATATTCCAAGTATAAAACTTAACTTATTATTCTTGTACTTCAATAAAAAAGGAATGCTCATCTATAAGCAAATAATCATCTTTGTTGTATGATTCTGTTGCCTTTAGTACTGCAGCTAACGCTACGATTTAGAAATTTTGAAAATTTAAAAACATCACCCTAACGAATATATGAAAAATTCCATGGTATATCAGAAACTATGATATTCATAGATGTTTTGCCGATATCCGCAGTATCATACTTCAAAAAAAAAAAACACCCCAATAACTCTTTAACATCGGTTAAACTGTGAGATGAAAATTACCAAGTTCTTGCAAAGCAGATTGCTAGTAGGTGCTAGCTATTACTAAACTCATTAATCCACATTTCACAATTTATTGATAATTGAATGAATGGAATCAATTGGTTATCTTATAGTTTAATCTATCATTAGAAGAATATTCAACTAAATCTGACTATAATTCCGGTGGGTCAATTAACAAGAGGCACATCCAACATTCAATATTAGAAGACATTGAATATAAAACAAGTGGGTTTGGATATGACTTCGCTATAGATATGTTGCGGTATCCGAAATAAATGTAGTCTGTTCAAAACATTACTTCATTAAAAATTCATAAATTTTTTACATTTTAAAACTTTCTCTTATGACATGATTCAATCAGTGAGATCCCATAAACATATCAACTAATGTTGATATATACGACTGGCCTCAAATTAGTTTAACATTTTGTAGCTATAATTACCTAGTTTTTATAAAAACAAGTAATTGTATATTGCTTTGGCTCATACTATATAAATGAGTTTCATAAATATTATATCCCTGAATCCGACTGTTTGAGCGGAAACTTCTTCAGGATTGCACTAACTATAAGCGCAAGCCTGACGGCAAGCACTTCTCCATCTCTGTCCTTTACGACAATGCCAAGATCACCAGCATTGACAAGTACCTTTTGACACTCTCTCTCTCGTAGGTACCTCACCCGGCACCATACCCGGCACCCGGCTCTCTATTTCTATTGCCCTCCCTGAAGATCTTGTTCTAGCCTAATACCTGTCCCACTACCTCGATGAGTGGGACCGTAACCTCCACTCCATTTCCCTATATAACCGCGGCTTTCGTGATCCCATTCACAAAGTTTACCGCTAACTTCGCCACCCGCTCATCTGCTCTAACCCCACCCCTCTTCTCTATAACCCAATTTTTCTAATGTACGCCCTTGCTTTCTGACTGAGATAAATCTAGTTCGCTAGGTACTAAGTCTATTTGTTCTCCTCTCTCCCCTGATTACTGGAATGAAGTTTTCACAATGATGTGCAAATCTCATCCATTCATTCCTAAGAGGTGGTTTAGTGGGTTCAAGTCTCACACGGTGGCTTTCGATACTTGCACCTACTGTCAAAAAAAAAATTATATCTCATATTTTATTTGGATGTAATTTTCTGCAGCACCGAGACATGTTGTAATTGATATTGGTCAGATCCCCTTTAAAGTGTTAAAAATATATTTTCTAACTTTTCGTTTATTTTTTAACCTGTTAACTATTTTTATCGTGTACCGCTTTATGTCACTACATGTAGAAACAGAGAATAGCATATTTTACATACATATGTATATTGAAGATTTTTCGTTATCTGCTACCTATGCTTTTGAGTAGACCTACATTCATCCTACTCAGCAATATCTGGTTAAACTAAAGAGTTAACTCTTGACAAAATAGTCATTTAATTATTGGTATTAAGATTTATCTACAGAAGTTCAGGAGAAAATGCCAACATCAAAATACGATAATTAAAAGATTAGGGTTTTAAAAGAAACTTTCAAAGAGAACTATGAAAGATACTAGACTCCTTTTGAAACAAAAAATAATAGTGGCCTCTTAGAATATTTCAACTGCTTTTATAATGAATTCAAGATGAGATCAGAAATGATCAAACAATTAACATATATGTTTGGATCCGTTCAATCAAAAAATTTACAATCGATAAGTAAATATGAGCTACTGATGTCCGTTCTCAGATTCACTTACTGTATGACAAGATGTCTACAGATGAGGTGCTAAAAGGAGTAAATATTGATCTTCACAAACTGAGCTCACTTCACAAGAACTGTTAGCAGACCTTTTTTAAACTTGAACTTATAAAAACTATACACTATACACGTTTCACGATACAACAGTCAAGGTTCACACATTTGGCTTTATTATCAAATTGACCAAGTTTACAGCTAATTGTTAAAAAACATTTTAGAGGTGAAGCGTAGCCCATCATTTTACTTTCTCCTTCAATAAAGCTCAGCAAAAATTTCATTAAAATCAGTTGAATTATGTTCTAGGGCATTTAGAACAAATAAATGAAAATACTAACTTGCATTTTTATAAAAAGATAAATAAATATATAAAAACATTTAGAATGGAGTATTTCTGCTAACATAGCAAGTCTCTTAAACTCAAAGCTGAACTTGGTGATTAAAACTGTAAATAAACAATTTTTTTTTCTTGAATTTCTCGTAGTGAAGCAATTACTTCTGCTCTTGAAGACTGAATATACATCTACAATTCAGAATAAAAGCAAGTCAGAACAAAATAAATTAGTAGAAGGCGATAAATGTAAAAAATATACGACGAAAAATGGATTAGAACGCATAATATCAAGTTTATAACCTCAGTAGATACATAAAAAAAAAGATTTCAATTAAAAATAGTCAGAAGGGTCACATGACTGTTAGATTACGATTTATACAACAAATTAAGAAGGAAGTGCCATGTTTCAAACAAATCAAGAAGTAGATTTTAATAAAAAAAAATTAATATATAGAAAAATGGTATTATATTATTATTTTGTATATAATTTAAATAAATCTTCTCAAATATTGTATCAGACCGCAATAATCTTCAGCGATGACGATAGCCATAATCAGTAACTCAATTCATACTTCCTGGAACTGTGGATATCATTCTGGTTGTTCTTTGGAGCTGTAAACTGTGCGGGGTAAAAATCTGAAGGAAATAGTGAGTGAATCACAGTAAGGGTGAGTTATATAGTGTACTCAGAGATATATATAAAAATATGTTGCTTATATGATTTTAATTGGGGTAGGACATAATGCTGAAGATAAGTGGTTACTCACGAAAGAAAATGAAATAAAATCATATTATTTTATTTAAATTATTTAAAAATAGAAGAGAAAATTACAATCAATAGTTATTTTTTATACAATTGTTAAAAAATTTTAAATAAATTTATTAAAATGGAACAATTCTACGACAAATACACAGATTTTTATGACCAAGAAAATCCTTACAATATGCCAAATGGAGTGATTTTAGAAATACAACGATACTACATATATCATTATATTGATGACTGCACAGTTTAAACAATAGATCTCTAATATCTATTATCTAATACGTGGACACCAATTGTTGCTTCCTCTTCTACATTATTGGGATACGCATATTTGCTATCAATGTCTCTATTAAACTAATCGCAAACACATTACTTTCGTATGCTTGTTAGGGACAGTTTGTAGATTATTGTGATCCTACGTAAAACGTTGGTTTTTAGTTGTTGAAGACATAAAAAACTCCATATTTTTTTAAAACATATATTATTTTTTGTAGGGAAATACAATCAATTGCTATGTAAGACATTTATATTAGCGTGTAATACAAATGACATCTTAATGTTACCAATCAGCAAAGCCCTCTCTCTCTCTACTGTTTTTTTCCACTGCAACGAAGATATAGTGAATTGTAGAGAACAAGGACAGTGACACAACAATTAAATAAATTTAATTTAAGACTTTATCTATATTTTTACTATATATGTAATTTATTGTTGCTCAATGGTGTTTCTTAACTCTCTTCAGGAATACGATTTTACAACAATAATTTTAAATCGGTGTGTTCTTAAAATCGCGAAGAATAGATAACCAACCATTGTTTAGTATACAGCCACATATTAGACAGTTACTTATCACGCATAAGTACTACAATCTATCTTCAATATGTGCCCCTAGTGCAACTCTACCACTCATGACGTCACCCAAGTCGTTCCGAACTAACTTGATCGCTATGGATCATATATTATATATCATATATTATATATCATATATTATATATCATATATTATATATCATATATTATATATCATATATTATATTTCCGATTGATATAGCAATACTGATTCTCAAAATTCAATATCCCTATCCTCCACCCACACCACATTTTTGTACTGCACCGTTTGTCTATAGCTTTTACTGATTTATAATTTGTCCTTTTTAGGTCACATTATTCATTTATCTGAAGCCGTTGTTCATGAATGTGATACAGTCTTATATATACCCCAAGTACAATTATACTATACATGATATTGAGTCACTTTATATTCATGGTTACAAATAATTGATTTGGCATGCATACCGTAGTACCAGATTTCACTCAAGTGGATTGTTACAAGTAAAAATACACGTATCACCTTTTATTACAGATATGCCATTCCACGAGAATATTCTAACCTCAATTTCAAAGAAAGAATATATTGAGTTAGTAAGATACCTTCATTTGAACCAGTTATCACTCATAAACATGACACTCTTATATGGGCATTGAGAGTACCACATGTGAGAACCAACTTACTACCAGTTATACTGCAAAACAATATTAGGTGGTCCCTAATAGTGTTTAGTTGCCTTTTACAACAGTTGTGCCTTACTGTGAGAACATTATCATCTCTATTTCGAAAAGTAGAACTATTTAAATAGACAGATACTTTCGCTTGAACTAGTTATCACTCATAAACATGACACTCTTCTATGTGTATCCTAAAAACAACAAGTGTGAACCTACTTACTATCAATTACACACCAAATCAGTAAAGAGTCGTGCCTAATGAATTTTAGTCACCTTTTACAACAGTTATGCCTTACCGTAAGAACAGTCTAATTTCAATTTCGAAAGGTGAACCTATTAAGGTAAGATTCCTTCACTTGAACCAGTTATCACTCATAAACATGACACTGTTATATGTGCATCCCAAGCGCAACAAGTGAGAACCAACTTACTACCAGTTATACTCAAAAATAGTATTGGATGGTTCTTACTAATGGTTTTTAGTCGCCCTTTATTATTGATATGCGTGTACTCTCAGGTTGCTGTTGTTTTTGTAGCCCGCGGAGATCTATAAAACACGTAATATGTAAGGAATTAGAAACGCCTCTACATGTTTAGGATATTGTGATATTAAATGAAATTGTTTAGGAGTAAGATTAGACTGAGGATGGTTTGGGATGTTTTTTCATGTCAATTATTCAGGCAACTACAATAACAAGGTTTCAAAAGCGACCGGATCTACTTCTGGAAACCACACATCGAGTTGTTCGACTAAGTGCCGTTCAATACTCCTTAAAGGGACTACGTAATCGGCTCTACAACAACAACAATTACTATTACTACTACAAAAACAATAAATATTGCTTCTAGTACTGCAACAGGAACTACTACAACAACAAGGGTTCCAAGAACGGCCGGGTCTACGTCCCGGAGCCACTCGTCAAAGACGACCAAGTGCCGTTCTACCACCCCCAAAGGGACTTCACAAGCAGGTCCCGGCGGGTTACAACAACAACTACAACAACAACAACAACCCGTATATTATCATTTCAAAAAAAGAAGAAAATTATCTCGTATTTGCAGTGTTTCGGGATCCATAAAAATAAAATTTCATATAATTTAATATCAAATTGATGTGACATGAAACTCGTCTTTTGTGATCCACATAATGGAAAATGGTTGTGACGAGCATTCCCTTAAGTATGAGACTTAAGGGCATTTACACTCTAAGACCAAACCTTAATTCAAGTTTTTCTTTTCTATCAAAATGACGCAGCCAAGTTATATATTTTTAAGTTATTCAGTTATTCGTCGTCAAACTATCTCACGGAGGAATTGCATGGTGGCTGCGCTTAATTGAGCTGCCTAGTACATATTCACCCGTACATGCCGTAGAGCTCTGGTATTTACATTATATAAATACGCACAAGTGCACACATAAACGCTTTCAATTAAATGCTTTCATCGCCGCTTTTCTTTATGTTCGAGTACACAAGGGCGAAGGTCACATCGTTTAGGTTTACGTTTACGTTTTATAGGTAATTATTTAATTTTTCTTTATTTGCATTTCTCAAATACTTAAATAATTTATTTCGCATTATGGGACCGGGCCCTACTCTATTGAGGTTGGGGCAGAGGTTGATTCGCCTCAACCGATGTCAGTTAGTGAACGCCTTGTCAACTATTCTTCGCTTTAGCTGTCCTCAAAGCAAATGTTGCGAATCGCATAGTTTAAGTGACGCAAAAAGGAACGCAAAAAAAAGACAAACTTAATTGAAATGCTCTGCTCCCCCAAATGGGAAACGTAAGTTTTTATTGACAAGGAAAGCAAAGGAAAAATTGACTCACCGCTTTGCGTCATGCCATGCCCATGGCATGGGTACATCCTTGAAATTCCACTGCCAATACGAAGTGCAACTACCCAACCGCCATAATAATTTCACTTCATCGCATAAAAATTTGATTATCTAAGCAAAAATCAAATTACGGCGTTAACTTTTTAACAATGTAACACATTTGTTTAACCGATTTATATCTATGAGTAGATGTATGTATGTATGTATGTGCGTGTGTGTATGTGTGAAAATGTATTAACTATCGAATTACACTTAACGCCATTGGTTTTTGGCTTGTTGTTATTGTTGTCTGATTCGTTGTTATTGTTTTGATAATCGTTTACCTTTAATCTTTAATACGCTGGCTATTTCGTTATTGCCACAAAAATTAACGAAAAACTAATTACGAAACTATTTATAACTTGTAGCACACAATATTTTTTTCACTTACAATGTAATCACATATGTAATTTATTTAATTATATTCTATTCAACTTAAATAGGAACTATTTTTATTGTATTGAACGAGCAGCACTCCACCAAAAATTTTTCTTTTTTAACAATTTTTCTTTTATTTCAGTGTAGACAAATTTCGAAATCTTTGTTTACACTTTCTCGTATTAAAATATTTTATATATATATTAAATCACGGAACATTAAAAATTATTCGATAATTCTTGCACTTGTTCAATTATTATTTTTACTACTACTAAAATAGGGATAAATATACGCATTAACAAAACTGTGGGTAGTGGTTGTTGTCGGTTGGGCTTTATTTCTTCTTCTGCTAAATCAAGACACATATTCGCAAAAACAAACAACACAACAAATTAACAGTGTTGGAAAACGTGAATCTGTACCAACAAAACATACTTCTTTCGTTAAAATACATTTCATGGGTTTTAACGAAGCACACTAATTTGAGAGCGTATTCCAAATCAATTGGCCTTACAAAAAATTTGTTCAAATCCATTATTGGTTACTAAAAACAGTTTAACATTAATTTTAATGAAAAACATCGCATTAATGAACTGAAAACAACTCTAAAACCATTTGTTAATTTCTATACGTACGCTCCCTTGAAATTTAGTTTAAAAATTATTTTTAAATTATTTTAAAAATGAAGTCCGTTATTGCTTACTAGAAATAGTTTGATTTTAATTTTTATGAAAAACATAGCATTAATGATTAATAATAATGATTAATGATTAACAACTAACAGCAAAAACAACTAAAATTATTTTAGTTGTTTTTAATATTTACTTATTAATTAATAAAGAGGTTTCTTCGAACAGTAGTGAAACACAACAACAAAAATTTATTTTTTATATTATTTTAATAAATTTAAAATTTATTTATTGATTGTTTATGTATTCATTGTTTGAGGCTTTTAGTGAACTTAAAAAAAAAATATTTCTACATATATATATTGCTGTATATAGTTTTATATATAAAATATATTGTAATTTAAATTCTTCATTAATTTTTATAATATCCCGCTATGATGAAGAATTCACAAAATTTTAAACTGAAGTTTTTGCAATTTTTATGTAGACTGTAGCTGTTTATAATAGAAAGTCATCAACTATTTTAATTTGAAAAAAGTTCACAAAGACAGAAATTATATTAAAAATAATCAGTGCTAATTTTCAAGATTTCTCAGTGGTTTGTGTCCGAAACGGTAAGTGTCAGATCTAATTGGATTTTACCGAATATAATTGACTCTATTACATCATTCTTCTATTGTTTAATTGTGAAAACGCAACAATTATATGCAGCATAGAGTACGATTTAAAAGAACAATTAAAGAATTTATACATCTTGTTTTTTTTTGCGTTATTTTGCTTTAAGCACTGTCAATTGAAATTTCGTAACCATTTTTTAATCAAATATAATAGAATTCTATTTTAAATTAAAACAACGGATATTATAATTTTCAAAATTTCTTTCACAATTTTATTCAAAATTATGTGTCTTATGTTTTATTTTCGAATTTTCTGATCACAAAAATTAAAAAAGTAAACGTAAAAGAAGAAGAACTAATTTTTCTTTTAATGTGGAACGGCTCAATTGATTTCTTATAGGTTACTAATTCAGCTTTGAGCATGTACTGTCAGATTTAATTCAATGCACAGTATTTCAATGGATATGTGAACGTTATATATATATTTTATTTGAATGATTTGATCACAAAATATTACGAAGGCTTATAGTACTGAATTAACAGAAAGAACAATGTATAATATATATATATACAGTTACATCAGAATTGCACAGAGTTGACACAGCTTATTTAAAATAACAAATATTGAATATAAAAGTAAGAGTATATAGTGTATTATATGTAACATAATACATAGTATAATCTTAGTATATTATTTTTGTTTGTTTTGTCTTTTAACTATTATCATTAATAACATAATACATCTTAAGCTTGTTTTGGCTATTAATTTCCTTTTTTGTATATTTTAATAATATACTACTCAATACATTACTTAAATTCATATAAATGCAACCCTGTTTATTTCAACAATTTACCTGCAAACTCTGCCACGACTTTTACAATTATGATAAAGTGACGCTCGCGACATTGTATAGAATAAGCTAATTTTAAGCAACGAATATTTGAAATATTTTTAAAAAAAAGTAACAGTAACATTTAAATATTGTTTTTAAGTGCAAATATTTATAAGGAAGTGAGATTAGTTCGTTTTATTTGTGAAAGAAAAATCAGCATTTTTTTTTAGAAAGTTAAGAAAATAGTACACCAACACCAAAACAACCCGAATTTGTATGTGTCGCTGAGGGGTACATGTTTTTGAGTGGAGACTTGATTGCACATTAATTTGTATGTCTCTACACAATTGGAACAAAAACAATAACAAATAATAGAAACATACCAAATATCTACAGTTAAAAAATTGTTAATAACTAAAAACAAAAAGATATCAAAGAAAATTCATTGTGCAATTGAAAATAAAAAAAAACAAGTTTGAAGAGAAATTATTGTTTTTATTATAACAAAACATTGTGCCCAATAATTTGCAAATAATTGTGACGACCAATAATAAAAGAGAATAGTTCAATGTTGGTGTACCTATCTCGTTTACACATATGTACAGAACGATTTTCCATCGAATGCTTGTAAAGAAAAAAAAATTTGTTGCTGTTTACTTATCAATAATCTATTATAATTCCAATTAAATTATATTTTTTACAAAATTATATTTAAAATCAAAAATAAATTGTGAGACAAATTCTTTATTCAAATAAGTTTCAAAATAATGAACGTTGCTTTAAACTCCGTCGTTGCATCTGCTCCGTCTTCAACGCGAACAGTCACAACAACAACAAAAACAACAAAACCAGGAGATTTGCAAAATCAAAATGGTAAAGAATATTATTGCAAAATAAGAAACATAAAAAACATAAAAAACATGAAAAAATAATGCTTAGCTTTTACAAAAATTTCCATCAGATTTGAAATATACACCGTTATGAAGTGAAGTGAAAAAAAAACAACAAACATGTTCTATAATTTTTTACAGTAGGCGGTCGGGTTCACTTATTTCTGTATAAATTTGTATGTATGTAAAAATGTATGTATACTTTTTTTAAAGGATAGAGTTTCTGAGTTTTGCCAAACTGAATTTATTTTATATAAATGGCGACTTACTTTTATTTTATTTTTTTTCTTAAATATATTTATGTGTTATTGTTTATATTAACTAAAAGTTAATATATCTATATTTGTTTATATGTATATCTAAGTGAGCAAATAGAATAATTTTTAGCTCGAACGATACAGTTTCATTATGGAAATTTTTCTCCACTTATGGCTTAGACTCGTTTTTACTAATAATAATAATAAAAATAAAGTCATAAAAAATACTTTAATATTTGGCTTAAAATTTGCCTGGGTACTTAAAATATAATAACTTCCATTTATGAAAGAAAAATAAACTCTTAACATAAATAGGTCTATTAGAAACCTATTTATGCCATTCTATTATGTGTACCTAACTTATGACTATAATATGATAATGTCAACTAATGTTATTCCTATTCGAAACTGATCTGATTTAACTAACCTTGCTAATAAACATATTCAGAATAAATGGTTAAATACTTATTAGCTTCTCATCTCGATTGAGATGGAGCTCCCATATGCAAGAATTGGCATAACGGAAGTGGTTGCGCTTTGTGAAGCATGTGAAGGTGGAGTGAACTTACAGACCTTCGAAAAGGTGAACTCTAGTAAGTCAGTCGCCAAGGCCGACTTCAAGTCATCTTCATCATAGGATGAGAGAAAGTTCTTAATCAGGACAAGGTTGACTCTGTCTTCTTTTTCAATTGGGTAGCACTTAAAAATTCTGTTGTGAATTGGTCTTCAGTAGTACTATGATCTCAGTATGTTTTCTCAAATTGCTCATTGCCAAGTATGCCATCAAATTCGACGTGTGAATATCATTTTAATTTAGATTTCAGAATCGAGATTATATTTTGTGAATGAGCTATTATCTTATTAAGATTATTATTTTAAAACAGACAATCGTTTAAACATAAACTCTTAAGCGAACACTTATCATCAACCATGATAAGTTGATAAGTCTTCTCTCTCGTTGAGGAGAGAAGTTTGAACAAAAATGGTTAAGTTCCCAGATAATGACAGTAAAGTGAAACAGAAAGTAGACAAAATATTTAGTTTTAGACACCTAATAAGTATATCCGTAATTATTAAGTTATAATTGTTTTTAAAAAATTGTTAAAAACCAGTTTTGGTGTCATAAAGTCCAAAACTTAATTTAAATCATTATTTAACTCGAATTTCTTGAGATTTATTTAATGCTTTAGCCTAAATTGATTAATATTTTTCAACTTCTCATCTTAGTATATTACAGTTAATACTTAACCCTAGTCAGACGGGTTAGGTACAGTTGTAACTTTTGACTCTCCAATTGCAATAACTTTTTTTACCTATACCGCAACAGCTTGAACTTTAGAAGTTCTTTACATTTTTGCTGTAGATGATATTTTGAAAAATTTTAGAAAAATATCGAGATACTTTTCTAAGATATGAAGCTGAATTGATTTCACTGTAGTAAAGACGTCTTAGGTATTATTGGACCTTCATGTATTTTGAACATAATAATGAAAAAAAAAACATTGCTTTAAGATAAGTTATTATTAGAAAAATTAGAAAGCTTTATATAAGAAGTAGAAATTCGCTGTTGTATTGAAAATAAAGTGTTCATCACGAACAGTTTTCACGCAAACCACACAAGACTTTTTAGTGTTCCTCTAAACTCTGACTCTAAAAGTGTTCCTCTAACTCTAAAAAGCTTCAATCGACATACCATATGTGAATCCGACCGATGAATATAAAAAATGAATGAAACATTTCTATGTTGACTCGAAAAAATAATATAAACTCTCTAACCTCTTTATTTTTTCTCAAGTAGTTAGACATGAAAGAAGAATTTGACTGAATAAACAAGAATATAAACCTTTGTATTTTTTTTTTCTTAAGAGTTTTAAAACGTGTGTCCTCGGATATGGAGCATACTGAATATAATGTCAAGATCTAGTTTAAAAAAAACAGACAATATAAAAATAAAACAACAATAGGACAAAAATATATCAACAGTAACAGCTAACAACACCAAAAATAAACAGAACACAAAGCAAATTCAGACATAAAGCATAAAATAATAGCACTAAAATGGCAAATAAATCAAGAATATGTACCCTTAAAATTTAGAATATCTTAGATAGACCTTTCCTATATGTTAGTTGTTTATTAAATCTAATCATTAAACTTGCGAAATGAAAAAGAATTTTACCTTAAGATAGCAATAACCTATCTATAATGTTCTTAAGCTATATAATGTTTCTTAAATATAAAACGAAAAAACTAATTTAATCATATCTATTCTATTTAATAATTTCAGCAATTTCATCTAATAATGGTCTCGCTCTCTTGGCAGCAATTACGCTTAAGAATGCTTTAAATATCAATAGTAACAATTCTACTAATAGTAAGGCAGTTTTACTTAGGCAAGAACAGCACGTTTCAAGTGGTTTTGCGAATAAACAGACAAGTATATATTCTTTTAGTGCTACCGGAATAACGTGTGAGAATATTGAAAATATATCCTCCTCCAGCGATGGGTTGCTGGCAACTAAAGCGTCAATTTTTCACGTCTCTAGTTCAAGTGAAGCCACTTCAAGTAACATCACGAACAACAAGTATGATACGAACAGAGAAGTAAGTCCAATAGTAGTTGATGCTGCAGTTATATCAACAACTCCACCAGCGACTCCGTCGTCAGTAACAACAACAAACTTCAATTCATCATTAACAACGAATTCAAATTCAACAACTGTTACTCCGATAACAAAGTCTAATTTAAAAACGCCAACCACAAATAACACCAATGGCAACACCAACAACAACAACAACAGCAACAACAAACATTTCAAAATTCCGTCCGATATACTTGACGATTTATCCAGTCGTTTTATTATAAACGTCCCTGATATGGAACTAAATGATTTAATAAGAATTTGCTTTCAAATCGAATTGGCTCACTGGTTCTATTTGGATTTCTTTTGCACATCGGATGATAACAGAAAGTTGCAATCTTGTGGTATAAAGACATTTGCTATGCAATTGTTTCAGGTATATTTTTATTTTAAAATAATGTATTTATAGAATTAATGTTATGTATGATAAGAAGAGACAATCTCAATTTTTTATAGTTTTTTTTGTTGCTTATAAAAATATAATAACATTCGTTTAATTACTTTTTTAAGTAAGTGTCACACTTAATATTATTCCAAACAATCCTAATGTGGAGAAACAGACTTCTGGGTTTGGTGAAACTATATAATCAAGCACTCATTTTCAATACCTTTTTCCATGTTAGGATTAGAAATAGGCAATCAAATATTAACTGGTATATTTCGTAACCTAAATATCTATAGTCAACACTGTACACTTAGATATAATTAATTAATTTACATTCTTATTTAAACCCTTTTGAAGATAAAGATATTCTTTAGTTTAATTATGTTGAGCCTACTTGAGTCAGTGCACCTGAGCACTTTTACTCTCTATTAACTGCGAGGTTTCTTCAAAACCTGTCTTTGTGCCTTGACTAGATTATTGCTTATCACTTAATCAAACTAAGCAATAATTGACCTCAGATCTGCATACCTCCCCGAGGAGCCTGTAACTATTCTGAGATTTGATAACGCGGTGTTGGTAAGCCTATCAGTTTTCGTAAATAATTTCAGGGCTCTATCCTTTATGTATTTTTTAATCCGATCAATCTTGAGGTCACTGAGGATGTCATTACCTTAGTAATGAGTAGATCATCAATGCTATTTAAACACTATTTTTTTTTATGAAGAGATAGTGGCATAGAAAATTAAATCCTATATTTATACTAATATATAAAATCTGAAAAAGCTGAAATAAAATTTATATTTTCTTTTTTTTTGTATAAGAATTTTTTTTACTTTCTAATCTCTTCTTTGATTTATTGTATTCTTTGATATATAGCGCTGTACTTATACTCTCTTTACGTCTAGCACTTATCCCACCAGTTTAAAATTCGGCGATGACGTATAATACTGGCAAGATAGTAGAGGGCTTGTGAATAGGTAGATTTCTATTGTGAAAGAAAAATATATTATTGTAGAGTTGACTCTAGTTTCAAGCATATATGTATTTACTTGTCGGACCAAATGCGTTGTATACAGATAACTCACAAAAATAACTACAAAATAACTCTCTGAATTATAGGAATATTTTCATCAATTGCAGAACAGATAAGCTAGCCAGAAAGGATGCTTCAGGACCTTACTCAGAACACTTAAGTAATCTGGGTATATCATTAACATCATGCAAGTTGATACTGATTTCTTTCTGTGCTGAAATTTTTAATAAATGTGACAAGACTCAACGATATGCAAGCATCTGTATGCAATCTCACCACTTTCCATTAAAAAAAATCTAATATTCTCATTGAGATGTTGCGTAGAGATATTAGTTTTATAGTAGGTTTATTTCCACAGGAAACCATGCTAGAAGATTGAATCTCCTTTACAATCACACCTGTCACAGCTGTGGGGAATACGATGAGAGTGCCATTTACTTGTTTTTGCCCAACTCATACAAGAATTAGTTGATAACTAAAGTTATGCTCGTCTAATCATAATTACAGGACATACACTGTATAGATAAGTGGATGTTCCGCTTTTACATTAAGACTGAAAAGTTTTCGGAAATTCTCATTTAAAATTCGCGCGCTGTATATTTTTCGATATTTTAAGTTTATGTAGTTTGGCAGCACTGTCCTTAATTACTATGCCAAAAATGAGCTCGATCTGTCAGACAGTTCGTTTACGGCAGCTGTTGAAACCAGTTCACCTCAGTAGTGCGTTGCGAAATGTCTTCGACGGTCGTACGACCGTCCTGGAAGGCTTTGTACCACTCATAAACTTGAGTTTTCGATAAAACTGATTCCCCATAAGCCTTTTGTAGCATTCGCAACGATTCTGCACACGAAATTTCGTTCGAAACACAAAATTTGATGCAAACTCTTTGTTCAATATTTTTTTCCATTGTTTTTTTCGCAACGCCCTACTGAGGTGAACTGGTTTCAACAGCTGCCGTAAACGAACTGTCTGACAGATCGCGCTCATTTTTGGCATAGTAATTAAGGACAGTGCTGCCAAACTACATAAACTTAAAATATCGGAAAATATACAGCGCGCGAATTTTAAATGAGAATTTCCGAAAACTTTTCGGTCTTAATGTAGATTAAGTTAAGTAGGAGTTAAAGCGCACTTGAGCACATATAATGACCCATGATGCCACGGGTGTGACATTGTTCGTTTATCAGACTTTAGAGACCACACTTAAGATAAGAGTTCGTTGCATTTAGTGCATGAAGTGTATTTTTTCTGTGAAGTAAAAGGAACAAATAACCTGATAAGTCTATAACTTAAAACTTATTATTGGTCGTTGGAGGGTTGACCACTAATCTTATTTCGTGCTTTTCTAATATGTGATGCCTTTTTACCACAGATATCGTTATATTCAATAAGTTTTGCTTTAGTTGAAGCAACTGTCTATGTTTCGCTATTATTCTTCAATATCCAGATATCAACAAATGTATGCATTTAAACTGCTTCGCGTCAGAAAATTAAAGAATATTAATATATTTCCAAATATTTATTTCAATTTTAATAAGTAGCCGTCTATTTGAAATTACTCATTAATATTAAAGTGTGTTATTTTTAAAGAAGTAACAACAAATTTGTTTCTATGAGCCTCATAAGATTACTGCTTCAGTATATATTATTTTTAATTATGTTGAGTCAGTGCACTTTTACTTTTTATTAACTGCGAGATTTCTTCAAACCCCCTCTCTACACCTTGATTGGATCTCTGATCTGCATACCTCCCCGAGAAGCCTATAACCATTCTAAGACTCGATAACGCGGTGTTGGTAAGTCTGTCAGTTTTCGTTAATAATTTCAGGGCTCTATCCCTTTTTATTTTTTGATTGGATCAATCTTGAGGTCTCTTAGGATGTCATTCGTCCTAATGTGAATTATATTTCATTTAAAAAAAAAAATTTTTGTTTTGTTAACCCTAATTAACATTATTTCTTGATTAATTCAAAAAAAGAATTTCTACTTTATATAATATTTTGTACAATTTATTTATTCTGAATTATTTCTTTTCAGCATATTCCATTTCTAAATACACATTTATCGTCGATCGATAAAGTTTTAGAAGATTGGAAAAACTATAAATTATCAGTGCCTACATATGGCGCCATACTGATATCAGAGGATCTCAATTACTGCCTATTAGTGCAGTCTTATTTTGCAAAAAGTTCATGGGGTTTTCCGAAAGGAAAGGTCAATGAGAACGAAGATCCAGTGCATTGCGCCACAAGAGAGGTAAATAAATATATCTAACATTGCTTATATGTTTATATATATTTATATTGATTATTTTATTACTTTTATTTTATAGGTGTATGAAGAAACGGGTTACGATATAACTAACATAATTGTACCAAGTGATTTTATTGATGCTGTTATAAATTTTCAATATACACGCTTATATATTGTACAAAATGTACCCCTAAAAACAAAGTTCTCACCACGAACACGCAATGAGATTAAATGCTGTGATTGGTTCCCAATCGACGCATTGCCTAACAATAAAAATGATGCCATATCAAAAGCCAAATTGGGTAAAAACTCAAATGCATTTTTTATGATAATACCATTTGTGAAACGTTTAAAGAAGTGGGTTAATGAAAAGCGAGCACTCAGTACAGAAACGAATTGTCAACTCTTAAATACTTTTTCAACAACAAATTCCATTCCACAACAGACTGGAAAAATATCACCAAAATCCACTTCACCGGTGAATATTTTACATACCAAAACAACAGCAAATAATGCTAGCATTAATAATCAAAGGCTTCAAAATTCAAGTAATAATTCAAGTAATAAAAAGAATAAACTGCAGCAACAAAATAATATTATTGATGATAAAAATGCACTAAGGAATTGTGATATAGTGGCAATGTGTAATACAGCTTCTAAGGTTACACTATCAACTTCAGTTCCCACAACTTCGTCAACAAGACAGTCAGGAAGACAACGCCATAAATCAATGGGTGATTTAGATGGTGTAAGAGTAACTAATTTAAGCAATTATAATCAGAATCCATCTAATAGTGCAAAGTTAAGAGCTAATCCAAACAGTGATTTAAATTCTCACGCTAATGGTAGCAATCAGAAACGTAATATGGGGAAGAATGGTAATACTTTTAATGGCAGTTTTAATGTGTCTCACGGCAATGGATCAAGTAAACGTCAATTGTTTCACAGTCAAAGTCAGACTGGAAATGGTAATATTGCACACCAAAACGAAAAGGTACACTTCTTTTAGTTTAATTAATGTTATCATTTAAAAAATAATAAATTAATTCGTTATAATTACAGATTGTCAGTTCGTTTGATTTAATACGTAAGGAAAAGCAGCAACAACAGTTAAAAAATTCAGCACAAAATGAAAATACTGCAAAAGCACAAAGACAAACTGCGGAAAAAGTAAACAAAACGAACGTATCTGGGGGAAATGGGCGTGTACGTGCAAAATCACAAGGGGACAAAATGAATTTAACCCCACAACAATATAGAGAGCCTAAAAATAATGCTAACAACAATGATATAGTTAGCAATAATACCAGCTACAATATCAATCCATATCAAAAATCGCGCATGCAAAGACAAAACTCAATGTCTGCAACTAATTCAAGTGGAATCAACAATAATATTAACACAAATACTACTACTATACATAATAAAATCCATACTGCAACAATTATTGGTAGCAATTCTCATAATATAAATAATATGAATAATAGTGACCCAAATGTTAAGACCAATGGTCTGAATACAAATAAAAACAATAATAATAATAATAATGACTCGATTATTAAAGCCAATAGTCATATAACTCCACCAACAATACCTGGCACTGATTTAGTTGCCTTAGCTTCTTCAGTTTCCAATAGTACAATGACAGCTTCTCAACCAAAACAACAACAAAAAACTGAAGTGAATATTCAAAATAATTTCGAAGCTGTAACAAAGCCTTTAAAAACAAATGTACAAAAGCCACGTCCATCATCTGTTTCATTGCAATATGACAAAATGCCAACATCAGATGGTATGCACCAACTGCAACGCATGGCTTCAGGCACTGGCTTACGTATATTGAAACGTGCCAACTCTTATCAACCTTCACAGTTGCAACGGCAACATTCACCATTTAATCCAAGCTTAAACTCTTGGACCAACTTCTCATTTACCAAAAATTTTATATCAAACGTTTTTTGTTAAAAAGTAAAAATATTCTTTGTATTTTTGAAACTTTTTAAATGCGAGAGTGAAGTGATTTCTTATATTTTCATGGTTAATATAAATATTTTTTTGACCAATTTCCTATATTTTTGTCATTCTTCTTTTCCATTTGACTGTTATAAATTTTTTTTATTATAAAAATGCTACTGATATTGTGTAAAAATTAATTGATGTTGTTTAGGCAGTACTCGCGACTTTTAAAGTGCAAATTGTACTGACATGCTTCGAAATTATTGTACAAAAACAAAGAATTAAACTTCAATATAATGTCTGAATAAATAAATGTAATAATATAAATCTTAATAATAAAGTTATATAAAATTAACTTTATGACTTCATGGAACATTTAAGTTTTTGAGAAGCTAAAAATGTTTTAAAATTTTGTAAATATATATATTTATATATATAGATATATATATATATTTGTATATGTATAAGTGTACTTAAGCACAGTAATATTTAAGTTTTAATTTCAAAACTAACTGCGCTGGAAAAGCATAAATTATTGTAAACAGAATTTACGTATTTTAATGATTTGTGATATTAAACTAACAAATATGAAAATATTGTCGAACAAATGCTTAAACCTTGACAATTTAAAGTGAATTGCTTTCAAAGCCTTTTTTTATATATATATAAAATAAAATTAAAACTATTGTTGCTTTAGTAAATGTCTATATGACAAACTGTAATAATTTCCTTTATCCTTAGCATTTTTATAAGCAAAACTTAAGTTGTTAATCAGTTAAAAAAATTGTTTTATATATTTTAAAATGTTCTCATTTTTTTTTCTTATTATAATAATATTTTTATTTTGCAATTCTATGTCTTTGCTTGACTTTGTATGAAGACTAGCAATTTCATAAAATTTATTATAAATATTAAGCAAATTATTCAAAATGAAATAGTAGAAAATGTATTTTTAAGTAAAATTTGAAAACAATTCCCACTTTAATTATTTGTCAAAGATACTACGCTTATGAAAATCTTAGTATTAATTAAAATGGAAAATTAATTATAATTGAAATTTTAATATATTTAGGGGGCCAGTTTTACAATGCACATTTAAATTTAGTATTACTTAAGAGTTCGATATAGAGCACTAAAGTAATACTTAATAAATATTACCTTATTGCCAAATCGGCGTTTAGGTGTGTTTTGTAAAAAAAGTTTCTCAAAAAAGTTTTCATAATATAAATAATTATATCAAACATAGTTTCACTATATTTATATATATATTGTAAATATTTTTGCATTTGTTATAATGGAATATGTAGCATATAAAAATTGTATATCTTTACAAATATTAAGAAATATTTTAAAATATTTATTTTTAAATATTTATATATAAAACTTTAATTGTTAATTTTCTTTTTAAACATCATACATACTTTCACCTTTTTATTTTGAAAAATTTGCTTGTAAAAATTCCAAAATCAAATGTATTTAAATTTTTGTGAAATTTTCTTTTCTCAATTGTTAATAATCAATTATTATTTATACATTTACTAAAAAAATTTAAATGCATTTGATTTTTAATATTAAACTCACCATTATAAAAAACAACAAATATTTAATAATTAAAAATAAATTCTAAAAATGGTGCAGTTAAAAACAATTTACATCTCAAGACACACAATAGACCAAGAACTCCAAAAGACCATCGACTCAAAATTACATACAATTTAATAATATACCATGTGCACATTATAAAGACTATAACTAAGCAACAAAGGGATTTATCAAAAAAAGTGTAGATACTAACAAAAAATCAATTGTATCTTTATATTTTAGTAAACTTTTTGAAACAACTTTGTTGCAAACATTTTTCAACAGCGAATATAAATTAATATATGTAATAAATAAACAATAAAACAATAATAGGACGGTAACTAAACAAAAATCAAACATAAACCACAAACCACAAACATCCTAAGTACAAAATAAAAAATATTTAAATTTTATGCTAAACATATTATTATTAAGTTTTATGCAAAACTAATTTTAAATTAAATTTCTCTGTTTGATATTTTGAAAAATTCAATATTTAAAAAATATTTCTAAATAATTTGCTATATATAAAAAATATTGTAAACATTTATAATTCCTTGCATAATTCTGATATATTTTTGTAAACTCATAATTTAAGTAATAGTTTCTTAGTTTATTTAAGTACATATTGTATTGCTTTAAAGTTATATACAAATTTTTATTTTAAAACTCATGTTTAGGAAAATGAAGTATTTTGTTATAAATTTAGTACTAAAAGATTTTTATATAATTTTGTGACTTTAGAAATTGTACCAAAGTGAACTTATATTTTATCTCTATCTGTTTCAATTCTGTAATATCAGCAATATTTGCATTTTTTTTAAATAAAATTAATTTTTTTATTTTGTACTTGCAAACAACAGCAGAAATATGTTTTTTTTTATTTAATTTAAGACATCAACTAGTTTAAGACACTGCATTATAGTTTATAATTACTAAAAACGGAGAAGAGAAGAACGAGCTTCAGAAATAAGTAAGCAGAGAAAAAATAGGCAAGAAAGAGATCGAGTTCACACTGCTCTTGCTCGATCATTAGAAACGAGTGAGCAGAGGCAAACAAGGCAAGAAAGAGATCGAGTTCACACTGCTCTTGCTCGATTAATAGAAACATGTGAGCAGAGGCAAGCAAGGCAAGAAAGAGATCGAGTTCACACTGCTCTTGCTCGATCATTAGAAACGAGTGAGCAGAGCCAAAAAAGAGATCGAGTTCACACTGCTCTTGCTCGATCATTAGAAACGAGTGAGCAGAGGCAAGCAAGGCAAGAAAGAGATCGAATTCACACTGCTCTTGCTCGATCATTAGAAACTAGTGAGCAGAGGCAAGCAAGGCTGCAAAGGAATAGAATTTGAACGATACATGCTGATTTGAATTTATGTGGTTTCAATTACAATCCCTCTGTTGACAAACAAATCAACAGATGGTGCCAACTGAATATGAGTACTAAATGAGAGATTGTCGCTGAATTACAAAATTTGTTTGAATAATATAATGAATTAATGAAATTATATAAAACCGCCATTGAACAAATGCGACACGAAGTTCGCCGGGTCAGCTAGTTATATATAATATTTGAAAATTTATATACTTGTACTTTAAAGTGATTGAGCATAAAACTACTATATTAGTTCGAGTGTATTCAGAACGAATGCTCGAATAGAAGCATCTTTAAATGTTAGAATTCTCGCTTAGAAGCATCTTGGAAAAGCTCGAATCTTCAATCAACTACAGAAATATTTGAAGCACTACTCGATTAATGATCAACTATATTAATAATCAGTCAACTAGAACAATATTTGAAGCACTACTCCATAAACGTAATTGTCAAGAAGACTGAAGACTGAATTAGTTAAAAATCAGTTAACTAATTCTGACTCGTAATTTCGAAAGAGACGATGTACGAATGGACGGGAAATGTAAGAATGTGTTGGATTATAATTTTCGACATTAATATGATAGAAGTTGCTTGATGTTTACATTAAGCTTTGATTGATTATGTATGGACGTAACTAGTCACTTTTGTTTACAACTAAACTATTCTAGGAGCAAGCCCATAATCTAAAGCTATTCACCTTCTCACTCAATCACATGTCACTCGTCCCGTTGAACAACGACCAAAACAGCGGACATATTCGGCTCGTATACTATATTTATATATGTACAATGGAATCGGATAGTTCTGACTGTTAAAGAACACTCTTTTCTTGAAACATTCGCCATTTAAAAGAACATACCATGTATAAGGAATTAAAGATAGGGACTAATAAATTTACAGAGTCAAGAGTGGTGTCGACTTATAAGAACAAACATATATATAAATTTTACTGTATGACTGTTATCAGTATATAAAAAATATACTTTTAATTTTAATAAAATATTTTAATTGTATAATTAATATATCATATTTTGTTACATATATATGGAATCCTTTAACTCCTAGGAGAAACATAGGGCCTCTTATTGAGGTTTCGTTAATCAGTTGGTTTAAGATTGGCAGGTGATTGGCCTACCGCATCCGATTCTGGTGTTGGGGCTGCCAACTGTTGCTCCAGACCAACAGAAAATAGTGTTACTGATACTGGTACTATTTTTAAGTAAGGGAGTTGTAAAAAAATCAGGTGATATGGATAATGAAATAAAGTTAGGTTCAACATAAATAAGCCATAGGATTGAAGAAAGTAAATCATTTTCAATAGTTATATATTTTTCTCTTTATTGCAGTAAAATTAAAAGCTACAGTTTCAGACATGAGAACGCCAAAACCACCGCAAGGGAATATGAATTGTGATACAGTTGCCAGCTAGTTAATGGACCAGTCCATGAGGTGATAATTGGCTAAATTTTTACTCCAAAAATGAAAAGCAGGATGCTTAAAAAGCGGTACTCTTAGCAAGTTAAATTCATTAAAGCTAGAAGAAAGCAAAGAAACAGCACTACAATGGAAGAAAATTAAATGATTTTTTCATTTATGGGAATAAATAAAAAAATTTTATATTATATATTATTTATATTAAAGCTAGAAGAAAGCAAAGAAAGAGCACTACAATGGAAGAAAATTAAATGATTTTTTCATTTATGGGAATAAATAAAAAAATTTTATATTAAAGGAATTTTTATTATATTTTACAAAAAGATTGTGGTCTAACCATATTAACCGGGCTGACAATGGCGTTTCACTCCGGTACGCTATCCCACTACTGCATACCACGGAAACTCTTGGCTGCTGGTTTTCACCCCTGGCCCGTTACATCTCTCCTTAGCAACCTGAACGCCGAAGATTCCTCTTTGGCGCCCATGTTGATGGCAAGCTTAGTGCGGACGTTCCGTCAACATGAACAAGTCCACTGCACAGAACTCCCGGTCTCAGGGTATCCCACAATCAGACCTCACAGAAGCGTGATTACAGAAGATGCCAACCTCCCAGTCGAAATGTTTGTGCTAAAAACTGTATATTAATTATTGACTTAGAG